AGCCGGGCAGAGTCCCCGGTTTGCTCAAGATCGCCCACATTGCAGAACCTAGACGTCAAGAAGGACTTAACTCGTTTTCTGGCCGAGGAGATCGAAGCCATGGCAACCTTAACGTGCTTGTCCGGGGCCTCAGTCATGAGGGACCGATTTCTGTTCAGCTCTGTCAGAATCTCAGGGAAGGCTACTCTCCGGGCGGGTCTGCCTTCGGCCTCTCCGGCAGCCTGGAGTTGAGGCAAGACACGAACGAGACGGATCTGCTGCGCTTGTCTACTTCGTGAGGGGCTGATGGGATCATCAATTTCCTCACTTGGAAGGTGTGGCCCTATCGTGAACAAGGAGAATGAGCCAGATGTGGAGTGGAAGCTGGAATATACTGGCGCAGTGCACTCGGAATGCTAAATCACTGGCACGCGGTTGCCGTCTGTCTTAGAGCCTCATCGGAAGATTATGGATGTGGCAGTCTCAACAGAGCTCAGTTTGAGACTCATCCGGGATGAGGATTCGAAGGAAGCGTATGTGGGATGGATTCTGGGAAATGATGGACACCTAGGACTTATCATATATCTCGCATGTCCACATATCATATCTTACGTATCCTTGTACGTTTATAGTATAGGTATCCGACGTATATGGGAATTACCTGCACCCCGTATCCGAAGAAAGTTGGTATACGTATGGCTATACAATTCTGCTTCGGACTCGAGGGTTTCAGGCTCGCCTGGATGGGCGAACCCGGGCGTTCAGGATTTCTGCTGTTTTCAATGGCAGGCGATAGGTAAGCCGCAGGCGATCCCGCGCAAGAGTGCGACAGTCGCATGTGGCCAGCTTTGCCCAAGGCTCTTCTCAAGAAGATAGTTATTACAAATCTCTTTCTCACATTCGTAATCGCAGAGCCATGCAGCATTCCATGCTTTGCGTTTTGTGACGCGCCCGCTATGTGATGCGGTGCTGTTGTGACGCGTACTGGTGTGCGATTCTGCACCCTTAGGCAGCATATGCCGCATGACTCCTCGTGAACGGTACGACCTTAGCAACAGACGCCATGTGTTTAGATGCAAAAAGACATGTTAATACCATGTAAGACCCCAAGCAGGAACAAAACTGCTTATCCATCTCCGAGGCCCGAGCCGGCCGCATCTGCGCTCCTGACGGCCTGGCAGTCTATGACACGGCCGGCCTCCAAGCGAGAAGTCGGGGAAGTCGACGAGTCGCGCGAACTCACCGACTCTCAGACCTGAAGAGCTCTCGAGGTCGTCCTGCTGGGCAACATTACCATGACGCCAAGCACTTACAAGCTCTTAGCAATGCACCTATATGCACCTTGTCGGAGCCTTCAGCGAAGCTAAGGATGAACCTGCCAAGCGATCTGACGAAGGCCGAGTGGAGGGCGATGCTGTGCCTACTGACCAAGATCTGCCCTGAAGATGTCTCCTCCAGTCTTCCAGGTTTTCCTGCTATTGCTTCAGTGATTCCTCCGTGCAGGATCAGCTGTGCACCACCTTCAAGGATCGTTTCCTCGGCGACATCCGCCTGGCACTGGTTCCGCCCCCAAGACATTCAGGAGCGAAAGCCGACGCTTGCGATCAGGTTGTAGCCAAGCAAAGACCTCCTTTGCGGAATCAACCGTACGGCCGCCCTGAAGCCATGGGCAACTTTCAACTACGGCACACAATGCCAAAGCGTGCGTTGATGTGAAGACGATGTCTTCCGAAGCAGATCGAGCTGTTGCTGCTGTGAGTATGCCGGCCGTGTATGGAAAGTACTCGTAGGCCTGAAACTGAAGTTGAGTGTTCGCTGCCTTCACAGCTGTGAGGTGATGGGACTGTCCTCCGCCGGGCAGGCTTTCCGAGTCGAATCGCTGGCCTTCACGACTTGACCATTGCCAATCCGGCCTCACGGCATCAATACTTGCAGGTTCCACTTACGGCAGCATCCGTCGCGACCCAAGATGGCCTCTTGGGCATGGGAGCTTTGTGCTGACGAGGTTCGGGTTCTCCAGACTACATCTCTGCAATCTGCAGGTTTTGAACGTGGAGGTTTCGGCTTGCGAGTCATCTCTGCGTCTGCGAAGACGACTGGCTGCGGTCGCTTCTCGGAAGCAAGGAGACACACCTAACCACGGTCGCTGGAATGGGACTGTGCTGGTCCTGTCAAAGGCTGAATGTTGTTTGGGCTCCAAGTTCCAGGGGACAGACAGTCAGAAAGCACTCATTTTGGAATCTGCACCGAGGCAACAGCCGTCAGCTTCGCGGTAAAGGCAGGAAGTCTCCGTGCAAAACACGCCTCGCAAGTAAACTTCAGGGCAAGGTTTGGCCATGTCCAAGTAGTGGAAGTGGATACAGTAGCTGCAGGGCAGTGAGCTGTGTAGGGGGAGCTCAGCAACGCAGTCCCCGACCCTGCGAAAACTTCCGGACCACATGTTCAGATCATCAGGGCTTTGTAGTCTGCTGAAGCTTGGATGGTCGCAGCCATGGGTCACTCACAAAGCATGGACGGTTGTCACCAACCCCCCAAGCCCGATCGCGCATTTTTCGAGCCTCGGGACAAGCTGGAGTTTGAGCCCTCTGCCCCAAGCCAAGTTCAGATGGAGTATTGCTGCTCGCACTGCTCGCCTAACCATTCCGAGCCGTGTACCTGCAGCGCACGAGCACATTCCGCCTGACCAGGTGGAGAACGATGCAGAAGCGCTGCAGCTTCAGTCCACGGTCACGGAGCAGGATGCCAGCTTGGTGCTGAGCCGGGCTTTGCCAAAACATCCATCCCAGATCCGTACCATGAAAAGCAGAGGTTAGCGGAGCCGAACAGCCTAAATGCGCAGAAGCGGGCCTGGCCACCATCTTCCCACCCACGGCGCAGTTTTGCGCAGTTTTTGTGGGGGCTGGCTCCGAGCTGTAAGGCTGTAAGACACTTTCACCGAGGCAGCGTTTTTGACAGAGTCTTTTCGCTGGCCTTGCTGTCTTCTTCGGGTGTCGAAGTCGCAGGCAGGCACCGGATGGCACCTTCACGCAGACGCATGTTTAGGAGCATCTGCGAAGCTCCGGCAGATGTCAGTGAACAGTAGTTGAACGACATGGAGTTTCTGTGCCTCCATGAGCGTCTACCCCAGCGGAACTATTGCCACAACTTCCTACATGCCATAATATTTCAGTGGCAGCAGTTGATCTTGTCATATTTTGTCCTCCGGTGTGCCAGACCTTGGGAAGACCCGCATGATCCGCGACATCCTGTACATCATTGATGAGTCCGGGCCTGAGGGAGTAAATCACCGGTCTCTTGTTGGCGTTAGTACCTTGCTTTAGCAGCAACCCTTCAGATTGATTGGCTTCTCTGGCTGCTTGATGATTACAGAGAACCAACTGATACCCGATGCCCGATGCACAGTGGCATGTCCTGCATCATCCTCGCAAGGCCGGATGGAACGCAAGTCTCAGTGGCTGCAGCCTTGGGTGATTATGCACGCGCATGGTCTGCAATCTGCAACCATTGCAGCTGGTATCTGGGAGCATACTCTCAGTAGTTTTGGAGCAAAGTGGATCAGGTGCTGGATCAGTGGCTCATCCCAAAGCACAGTTGAGCAGAGCCCGTACAAGCGAACATGTTGGCAGTATAGGCCAGGAAAAGGCTTGTCTGAACCATGGCCCGTCCGATTGTTCCCGTGGCAAGGTGAGGGACAACAGCAGGAACCCCAGCCATGATGTGCATTGTGCAACGGCAGAAAAGCTAAGACAAAGCTACCCAAGTCCAGTGACTCTGTCGCCACTCCTTGGACTGCATGTCCGGGTGTTTGAGCAGAGAGCTGCTGGGGCTGTAGGACTCCCACCGATTAGTTTGTGGCGCATGCATCCATGGTCGAACGAAGGCAGCAATGACACGGACAACGACACCGGCAATGACACGGGACCCTTGCATTTTTCATCCGACTGCAGCTTTTTCAGGCACGACAAGCCGTAGCCGTAGAAGCAGCCGCGACCATAACTTCCGGCTTGATTGTCACGGCTATCCGGCTGTCCAAAAAAACTGCGAGAAGCTGTTTGTAGACTTTGTTAAAGACGACCATGATGGCTGATGTGATATATGATGTCACGCCAGGCCATACGATACTCTGCTCGAATATGGTCTTGCATGTCATGCCTACGAGCAACCGTATGGCACCGAATGGGAGGAGAGGACGACAATGACGACTTCATTGGCTCACCGGACCTTGCCTGAGAAAGGATTACCACTGTTCAGCCGTGTTTGGGGGTGGGGTTTAGGGTAAGGCTGGACAGCCACAGCCTAACTCATGCCCCCAGAACTTGAACATTCCCACAAACATCCCTCACATCCGGTACTCACGGTAGTCGCTCAGTATTGTGGCCGTAGTCTTATTGTGGGCACTGTGAGAGGGCCCATCGGGGATCATCCGACAGCACTGGAGCGATCAGCTGGACATGGGCACTGTGACAGGGCCCATGTGTAGGACACGGGCACTGAGAGAGGGCCCTTGTCGGTTCCTTGGGGGAACGCCCGATAAAATTGGAGCGATCGGCTAGACATGGGCAC